TCCCCCCGGGGCGGGGGGGGGGGGCGGGTAAGGGACAGCCGCGGTGCTCCGACCCGGCGGCTGGCTGCGGGCAAGGGGGCGGTTTTGGTTCCAGCCCCGGTGGCAGAGGAATAGTGGAGAGGACAGCAAGTCCAGAGGCCGCGTCTGTGCTGTGGCGGAGCTGGTGAGCTGCGTGTGTCTGAGCTCGGGAGAAAGCCGGCAGAGCACAACCAGCGCGCTCTGAGACAATTTGTTAAAACCATCCTTCTCTTCGAAAGGCAGAACACTGAATAGAGGGGATGAGTAAAAAATGCACCAAGATTGGGCATGGTTTTTCGTATCACAGCGCAGAACTGGCCCCTAATTTGAAAGAGGAGCTCAGCAACAAGCAAGGATACAAGGATACTCTGGGAACAACAGAACAAATGCAACATGGGCTTGGGAAGGAGACAGGAGCACACATTCAGAACAGAGAGAGGGTAAAACCAGCATTATGATTCAGCGTGGGAGGTGACGCCACCTGATGGCGAAAGGCTCGTGGTTTGAAAACAAAAGGAACATTTAATGGGCTCCGCCTGACGTGCACCGCGGTACAGGGGGACAGGCAGCACCCTTGGTGCAGAAGTCGAGTGTCCGGCCTGTGCTGTAATGGCGAGTCACTTCCTGCCGCCTGCGGCAGAAGGGGTTGCGCTGGCGTCACAGATGCGCACGCGCGCTGCCGGAAGAATGTGTTCATTCTGTTCTTGGACCGTGTTACCTCTGAGCTCTGGAGACGAGTGCAGGACAGCTCTTCTTTTATTGCTTGGTGCCTCTTGCCACGTGAACGGCATTTCCTAGAGAGCAAAGACACAGCGCGAGCTCTCTGCAGTCCGTACAGGACGGACCTTGCCAACCTCGCGCAGGGCTGCAGAGACGGTGTGCCGGGTGGAGAGACGTTCCACGGGACAACCGGCCAACGAGCATCCTCCCGGCGCTGCAGGAGCCCAGCCTGGCCTCTCACCCGGAGCTCCCCGTAGCCCTCACTGCTCTTGCCGCTCTGCCAAGCAGCACTGCGGCCGAGGGAGGGCAGGCGGTTAGGGGCCCTGCGGACCATCAGGGCATGGCAGAAAAGCTCCGTGGGCGAGTGTCAGCTCACTGGGCTGGCTTTGACGTACACGCATCGAGATACGGACATGCATGCGGGTCGCATTTTGCAGGATTTTCACTCAGGTAAATGTCAGCCAAAACATTTGCTATGAGAAGAGGAGCTTTGAGAGTAGCGAAGCGTAAGCAAAACGTACTGCAGAGCACTGCTGGAACATAGGTCTGACCTTCGTTCTTCTGGATCTTCTGTCAGCAGCGGAATGAAACATCCCAATTTAGCTGTCTGAAGCGGCGTGTTTATTGTTTGTACAGCTTTGCTTTTATAATAAAAGAGAGCAAGTAAAAAATGCACTTAAGCAACTTTAAATGGTGCAGGTATTTTATGCAACTGCCCAGGGAATGGATCATTAAAATATTAATGAGCACTTAACTCCATCAGGTATTTTTGAAAGTCCCAACCAGAATACCATTATAGCGATACTATTTTACTGTGCTTTACAATGGTAATATATTAATACATGTATTAAACCAGTTATTTTTAAACAACATGTTCTAGGTCAAGTCAGTAGAAGATGACGACTTTGGATTCTTCCATTTGGAAGTCATTTGGAAAAACAGTATTTTTCATTTTCTTCATTTGATCTACTATTACTCTCCAGTACTACTTAAGAGGAAAGGAGGTTACCTAAAATCTCGGTCTTTAATGACCTTTGCATGTTTTTTGGCAGAGATACTCAAATGTCACTAGTGACTGCATTGGTGACTCACTGAGTATGCGAGGGTTGCATCTGTTCCACATTAACTGTAATTTGCATGCATGCATGCATTTCTGCATCCATTAATATCATAAACAACTGGAAGAGGCATCATAAAAAACGCCAAACTTGGGCTCTGCCTTAACATCAAACACTGAAAACAATTCAGGAGTTAAAAACATTTTCTCCCATGAATACACTACGAGAAACATACAGTAGGCCTGCACAAATGTTGCTGAGCCAGTAACTAGATACCGCTTTCCTCCTCTTACACGGAAGAACACTCATAAGTTAAGTGTAGGTGAGCACTTTTTGTGATGCACAGTCTTCATTGCCATCCAAGTGAACATACATTGTTGCATATTGCTTCACCAGACGTTTGGCACCTTTGCCCCCCCCCTTCAGAAATGTCCATATGCATTTCATTTCTCATCTCTTTCTTCTGGTGGATTAATTTCTTGCTGTTTCTCCACAGATGAGGTTTTTCATATTACATAATCGGGTCCCCTATTCCCAATGCCCAACAGTTCTTTCTCTAACCAATCTGTATCTCGATCGACTGTCTTGGATAACTGGGAATTGCTGCTTCTCTTCGGCGCATAAGCTTTCAGATCTACATTACAGCAGTGAACCTGGATTAAGTCCTAAAAAGCGTCGGTGTCCCCGAGTGAAATGTTAACAGTGTTTAAACGTAGAAGTTGTTTACGTGTATTGCGTAAATGGGGGGGGGAATAAGAAGAGGGGCTGGCTTGGTTTTAACCACCAGGGTTTCCTCGCTGAGAATATGGATTCTGGAGATAACGAGCACTGTCCACTCCAGAATCTCACAGGGTCAGTTTTGCAGCTTGCAAGTTTCCATCCCCCAGAAAAGCATTTCAGAGATTTCCTATCCCTCTAAGAAGAATAACTTGTCTACCAGGATGAAAATATTGATACTGGGCAAATAAAAAATAAAAAGTACACTTGGCTTTAGCTTTTCACAACTTAATTTTATTAATCTTAAAGAGTTATAATATATAATTAATAATTAATATATATTATTATATATTATAATATATATAATTAAAGAGTATAAAAAGATAAATGACCTATAGTTTGCACACATTCCCAAATGCTCTTCACTACACTGGCTCTCCCAGAGATCAGTTCTAGATGACAGGACAACGTTACACCCGCTGATCTGGTTCCGACTCACACCCGGGGGAGGATTTAGCTATGGTTACCAAATTACCATCCCCATTGCCTCACCTCCCCTACAGAAGCAACCACTACAGCCGAGGGCAGCCAAGCTGGCTGCGTGTCCGAGCCGTGGTTTTTTACTGTAATGCTGAGCTGCAGCCATGGTGCTGGCTCAGAAGAAGCTGTAAGCTATGGCGCTGCAGCTGCCTGGCTGGAAGTTCAATAGTTCCAGCTTTCCCGGCTGAAACGGGCAGGAGAGAGAAGACTGAGCAGGTGGGTATCCTGGTGATACAGGAGGGAGATTACATAAATAGGGAGAAGAGGGAACTACTGAAAAAGGAAAACAGAAGGTGAGTCATGGAGGCAAGGCATTCTTTGAACAGATACTGGCTCGATCCAAGTACATCTGGAAGTCCGAATGATTTTTGAACAAGTTTACTTGTTCTTTAGCTGCCAACTGTAAGGAAACTAACTTCCAAGCATGCTCCATCTGTGCAAAACCAGGTCTGAATGGCCCTGCCATTCACAAGCAAAGCAAAGGTTTTGTAGGGCAAGTAAATATCCCAGAACATAATTTTCAGCATAAATTTAGCAGCTGAAGAAAGCATTTTAATGGTGTCATCCAACTGTCTTTTTTTACCCTTTACTGCAGTTCCAGATCAATCACACAAAATAAGGTTTTATCTCACGCCATCCTCTGTAATGTCCATGCACTCTGAAGTAAATTTTATGTTTTATCAGATGTAACTTGGGTGCCACAGAACACTTCATCACCTTGTAATACCTTCTGCCTTATTTTAAGTACTGCTACTCCGGTAAGACTGACAGGACATAGTAGTATACCAACAGAGAAGGGACAAAGCCCTCACTGCTGATCCTCTTGAAAAATCACTAACTTTTTTCTTTTTTTTTTTCCTTTTTTTCCATTTAAAAAGATATTTAGTTCCTTTCAAATCATTTATCAGCCTGTGAAAAACAAAAGAAAACAAAACTCCAACCCCACCATCAAACCTGAAAGTAAGAAGGTGATACAGAAACAAAAGACACAAATTGAAAATATTCATGGCTAAAAATACTGGCCACTGTTCTCCTATCTCACAACCTAATCAATACAGGGAATAGATTAAGTTGGGACAGAAAATACATTATGTGCCATTGGAATTCATAATCCAATGTTAACTTGACTTTTGAGTGTATGCATCAACAAGTAGATCTCTTACATGTAACAAACCTGTGTGGAAACCACTACTCGTGCGGCCTCACGGGCTTTAGCTTGTTAGCAATAGATGTTGAATATGGTAATCTCCCTTTTAGTTTTTACTTTCTCATGCTGAAAAGCTCCATGCACGAAATGAGTAGCCATTCCTTCAGAGAGAAAAGACACAAGCAAGCAAGGGAAACTACACACAGAGGGAAGCAATCCTGAGAAGATGGAGAGGGAGGAATGTATTAAAGTGACCGGCAGTAGCCATTCATAAGACATTCGGGGAAATACGGAGCTCCATGTAGGTACTGAATCTGGGCGAAAGGAGATGGTAGAAGGGGAGGAGGGAAGTGAAGCAGAGATGCTCTTTTCTCCTCTTGCAGGTCCTAAAGAGTACAACGATCCCTTCTTTCTGCTAACCCTAAGGCCCTTCAGATGTATTCCCCTTGCAGCTTCACAGATCGTGTTACAGCAATATTAAGAGGAATTAACAGAAACAGTGTACAAAGGGAAGAGATGGCAGATGATGTGGCAGGAGGCTTTTTCAAGGGTTATTTCAGAAGCCAGCTGAAGACCAAAGCTATACAAAAGACAGGCAGGTAAAAGGGGCACTGACCATGAAGAACTCCTTGAGCAGTGGGTAAAATTGTAGTCTTACGATTTAAGGGAATGAGAGGTTTGGTGAAGAATGCCTGGGCTTTCAAGGAAGTCAGCTCTTTGGAGCACGAAGGCAGCAGCACTTCCAGGAAAGCTCTGGAGTTAATGAGTTTGACAGAAGCATCCGCTAGGTAGATCCTAGTGTTGCTGAAGGAACACTGAGGCCAGGACAGTGGAAAGGCTGATCAAGGCACTACAGCCATGATTGCAGCTCCAGCAATGTGTTCCCAAACCCACTACAGAAAGGGTGTTCTGCTGGCCTGCAGACTGGCTCCTATTCCTCTTGACCTTGAATGAAGGGTTTAACATGTTAATGCTTCAGAAGGTCCCAGGTCTGAGACTCTATCCAGACAACTGAAATAATATGCACCTGACAAATCAGTACTGACTGCAACTGTCTGAGATCAACAATATGCGGGGAATACAGGTCACTGTTTCAGTATGAGAACCTACAAAAAGTATTTCTGTGAAAGTTAGAGAAAAGGACACCGAAAACTCTAGTGGCTTCTGGAGGTAACTATGAGACATTTAAATTTAGGTTCAGTTACTAAAGCGTGAAAGCATTTTGTTCCACCTTCAAAGCAAATCTTATGTACCATAGCAGAGGCATGGTACTCCATGAGGTCTCCATGGTACCGAAAGAAAGAGCTCCATTTTAAGACAGGCTTGAAAGTTCTGAGAGGTGTTGGCAGTTTATTACACCTTTATGTGGTGGGGATCAATCAGTTTGGAACAGCAGTAAAAACAATTCTATCCCAGCTGTTCCTTTCAGTTCCTGTCATTACCCAGTGCTTGTTCCAGTTTCAGAAATTAGATTATTTGGGGGCTTTTAGTGTCAGCACTGCACACAAGAACAGCTACCATGTTCCCGCCTCCCACAATTCCTACTGACTTGTTTAATTTTATCTTAAACAACCACCACCATGATCAAATCCATCACCACTTGAGTTTACCAGTTAGCGCAGAGTTAATGAACAAAAAGATAATACATACCTGGCAGGAAAAGGCTATTAATCCTTTATCAAGCAAAGTGACGTATCTGTCCATGTTTTCTCTGCTGCACACTGGACAAACTAGTTTTACAGAAACAATTGCCAAAATATTTCAAAAGCACTCCAATTCACCATATCACAGATTCCTTTGTCTCTCTTCTCTATTTATGCTTTTGGTCTTGAAGTCTTTTTGCCTGTCTTTATTTCGCCCTCCATTTTTCAAAAATAAAGTCCTACTTAACTTAATAGCACTATAAAATTCTTGGTTTGTCTTCAGTAAAGTTCATTCATTCTGGAATAAATATGTGTTCAACACGACTGATGTTCTTCCGATTACGTGATACAATACACAAGTAAACAAGGAAGAGAAGACACAACAATGCCGTAGCTGTGAGAAAGACGAGGAGCCCAGCAAACAAAGAAGGTTTCAGAGGTAACTGGATCAGCTTGCCTTCTGCTGGAATCATATTCGTGAGGCTTAACATGTAACCGAGTGACCATGCTATACTGCTGTTACCAACCTGAAATAAAGACAAAAGAGTCCTATTCCCATGGACTTTTCAGTCAAAGAAAAGAGGTTCCAAAAGCTCAACTGCTGATGCTGGCAACTGCCCTTTAAGTTAGCAAGGAGAAAACTGGTGGAGTATACAAAGAAGATACAGAACCATTTTAAATTACCCTTTTTTGGTAGTTCCAGAGGATGCTAATAAAATTGGTCACTGGGCTAAAGAAGTGAGACACAGGTATTAGATGCATGGGTACAAGGATGTGTGGTATATATGCAGACAGCCAGTTACAGGATTTTCTGTGCAAGAAACACACTTTAAAAAAAAAAAACAGTACTACTGTGCCTAATTCCTAGAATTAGCCCCTCATCTTAGCCAAATCCTAGGATGTTACTTAGTTCAAGCAAACAAAAAAACCCACAAAAGAGTCCCACCGACATGGACAAAGAGGAAGCCAGGGTAAAGTCCCCAAAGCAGGAACTCTATTCATCGTCTTTTGTTCCATGGTTGGTTTTGTGCCTGCAAATGAACCAGCACTAGGCTCTTCCATTTAAAAAATAAACATAAGTGAAAAATTACTGAGGAACAGGTGAAACAAAAGCAAAGGGGGTACGTTTGTATTTGCTGCATGGTCCTCCTGCTTTGCTCTCTTTCCCCACTTCTAATTTGAGCAACAGAGTTTATCAATTTTCCACTGTCTTTTTCATTAAATCATCATCCTGCCACTTGATAAGCACAGGATCAAAGGGTGAAGACAGAGTGTCCCTTGTCCTCCTCCCACATGCCCAGGCTCCAATAATGGCTTGCCTATTTATATAAAACATATAAGTACACATCACGGCCTCCTACAAGTCAAACCACAACTTAAAAAAAAAAAAATCCATTGTTAAACAGAGTGAAAAAATATGGGCGGGGAGGGCACTTCAAGAGAAATCGGTGGAACTCATTAAACAAAGGCTAGCCTAGAGGGCCAGCTACGAGATACGTATTTGGTTTACACTCCAGCTTTCTTTTTCAAAGGGCCTGCACCACTTTGAAATCACTCCAGGTAGTTCTAGGGTATACTACAGGACAGACAAAGCTGAAGTTGCGTTCTTCTACAACCAACCAGCTCTCCCAAACTCATTTGGCTTTCCATCTTTATTACAGGTCATCCCACTCTGCAACTCATGAATGGCTGCCCGTAAGTAGTTTGCTTAAATTTGGGAAAGTAAATTTAGGAAACCAACCTCTTTGGTTATTCATGTATAAAAAGCATCATGATGAAGTTGAGGGATGAACTTTAATAAATGATTTAATGTCTTCAATGAACAGTTTTAAGCAGTCAGCTACTGGTTGTAGGAGACCACAAGGGCCTATAATATTTGGTCCTTTTTGTAGCTGTGTATATCCTAATACCTTTTGTTTAACTGATAAAAAGAAAGCTACAGCAACAGGAACTGGAATATGACAGGTGAGCAAAGAGGTAAGATGGATCAAGGTGGTTTTTCATTGCTGAGAGAGGGGAAAAACTCTCATCATGAGGTTTAGAACTTTTGCAAATCATCTAGCTCTAGATCTCGCCCAGATCTTAGCATTGGGTTAAGGTTCTTTTCATTGGTTGTGTTCACTAATTAAAGGAAATATACTCCTAGCATAGGCAAAAAACCCCACCCTCCACTCTTGGAGAAACTGTGCTGTTATCTCTGGGGTAGCTTAGCTGATCAGTTAACATCAGATCTTATTATTTTAGTAGGGGCAGATCTAATTAAGAGAATGTAGTTTTTCCTTTCGGAGTTTCATGATTACCCTCGTGCAAAATCTAGGTAACAAAGGTGTTAATTTCAAATAAGCCTTTTGGGTTTTTATTTTGCTCAGTATTTTTATAGTCTTGGCTAAATACAGAAAAATGTTGCTGTGTTTGGCTGCTCCTATCTGCTGGGGACAATACAAGTTATATTTAAATATCAAGGCAAATCCACCCCCCACCAGGTCCAGATTAAGATCCCAAAGTAAGCTCTATGCTGATTTCCTGGTAGAAGGGCTAAACTCTGGACACTCCTCCAGAGCTGCTAATGGTTGTCCACCAGAGGACAAAATAAGGCAAGAAAATCCTACTTGATTCCTTAGTGCACCAGTAATAGATATGACTGTTCAGAAAATATTGCTTACGATTTCTCACTCACAGCTTGCCAGCATATGCTACATTTAAGAATACTCTATGAAGATCTACAACCTATTCTTTTGTTGGTTTTGAATGCAAGTGCTGAAGCATTTCCAAACTGTACGGAGATTAAGAGACAGTCTGGGACAAGGTTTTAGAATAAGGCTCTGTACAGTAGCAGAGAGGAAAGGATGGAGTCACAGAGCACTGTGGGGAGCACACTTCTTGATGTAACAGCCAAGCTTAGATAGTGGCCATGCCTTCTGATTTGGAAGCAAAGATTTCTTAGCAGTAGCTTCAGAATGGATATATACAAGTTCATTCCAAATACTCTGTTTTTTAGGAGAAAAACTGAGGTCAGGGAAGAGAGAAATGCAGCTGTTACACAAACGTTGAAAGCCACCTCTCTCTGCCAGCTGAACGCCAATACCCCATCAACATACATTCTTATTCCAGAGAACCAGATTACAGCACAGATGGATGTGCCAGCTGAGGATGAAAACTGCTCTAGTTGTTTCATCACCACTCACTGACTATAATCCAGCTCTGTCGGTTCCCCCAAGGCTCTGCCAGCAGACAGAAAACCAGGAGTTCTCCCGTCCAGCTCAGCAGGGTTAGCTCAAACTGACCTTGACCTGCGAGGTGTTTCAGGCAGATCACTGCCTAGAGCAAGCCACTACTTCAACAACCTGGGGCAAGGTTTAAAACACAATTATTTGATCCTTTCTTAAAGCTCTTCAAAAGAATCTAGGCAGCATCTCCAAGTAATGCTGCAACCCCTGGAACCAGGCTGAAATTGCTACTGAGGCTTGAAAAGTGGCTTTGTCTTATGCCAAACATTTGACAATCATTTACAAAGGCTGTTTATGACCGTTACATTTTTGTAGGCTGCTGCATCTTCCGTCTCCTTCTAAACTTCTTTGGATTAAAATAACAGTAAGAGGAAATGATTGTCACTCACCTCCTTTTGAAAACGTATCTGTGGCCAAGTTTCTGCATCGAAGTTGTAACCACGTGCAAGCAAGTAATAAATGAAATTGGCTGAAAAACAGTAGGATCTAGCATATATTTCTTCAAATTTAGGCAGCATAAACTGGAGCTGAAAGCAAAAGGTTTTTTAAAAACATGTAAATTATGAAAAACAAATGCTTTTGGTTTTTATAACTAGAGAATACTTTGGATTCGAATTAGAATTTATTAGCATTTTTCAGAAACACCAAGTAAAGTTGTGGACAACTAGATACGGAGATTTAGAAAAAGAAAGACCCTGACAGTGATATAGTTTATGTGGTAAAAAATGAAAATAAACATAAAACTGCACACAAAAGACTGAGGATTCCTAAATTTTCCATGTCATGTTTACAGCATGGTTAAAACTGTGAAATGAAATTTCAAAACCTAGTCCAAGTTTTAAGCATGCTAGAAATACTACATGGTTTGAAGAACAGTGGGAAAACAAATGCTGAGGTTGATATAGACCTTCTGAAAAGTTCCAAATACTTGTCTAGTCCAGATTCTTTTTATATCTCCCTTTTACAGATACAAAAAAGAAAAAAAAAAACCCAAACCAAACAACCCACTTACCTGCGCCCAGCTCTGTGAACAGAAAGACCACATACTTGAATTGAAGTCAGCTAGGGAAAAGTGCCCAGATAAATTCAAAGCATTAATTGTATAGTAGAATCCTGAGAAAGCCTGTAGAAAAGGAGTAAATGACAGGCCTGTTACTTTCAGAACTACAGAAATCAAAAGCAAGCAAGCTCAAAAAGAAATGCTGTGTTTGCAAACCTACCACAAAATTCCCTTTAACTTTTGGCTGATGTATTCCATTAAATGGACAGTCTTCTCTGTCTCTGCAAGCAGTGAAGTTAAACAATAAAGAAACCATCTCCTGGCACAGACCTGGGTCTCCTGTTCCACGGAAGTTCACAAGCTGGTTTGGGTAGTAATTTGCTGGTCTCAGAGACTGCGTACAAAGGCTGCCAGAGAAGTACTTCATCGTTAATGCAGTATTATAATTCTGAGGGTAACATGGATTATCCACATTGGAACTGGTGTTTGATTTCTGTGGGGGAAAAAAAAAAAAACAAACTAACAAAAACCCCCAAACAATAAAGGCTACTCAAAGTAAGAAAGACCTAATGTGACATTAACTACGGGAATATTTTTAAACCACATATGCATGTATTTTTGTTCTCTTCTCTGTCATGGCTGATCAGTACAACATTGCTGATCATTGTAATTCATAGAAACTACTTTCTCAAAAAAATCATTGGCAAGATCAGCAAAACACTTACAGGACTAGTTGGGCCTTTTTGTCAAATAGTACAAAACTCTCACCAATTTTTAACAAATATGAAGATCTTTGTATGAAACCTAAGTGCGTTTGTCCACAACTAAGTACAACAGAGCTCTTATTGGGGTCTTCAAATTCCACCAAAGGGAAGCGAACACAAGCCTAAGAACCTGCTCAGATAATTACTGAACACTTGCAAGAGCAACACAGTAAAGGGTCTTAAACAGACCTGGAGCAGCAATGCTAAAAGCCTTTTCTCAGCTTCATCTCTCCCATAGCACTGGAAGCTGTGAGTGTAGACATTGTAGTTGTAACCATACAACTTCACTTGCAAGGTGCTATTAAAGTTCTCCTGAGAGTCCTCTGGGATAAATGATATTTGAGTGGAAGCTCCTCCAAGATCCAGTGCACCCATAGTCTCCTTTCTGTAAGGATGGACCCATGTCCTCCAAAGGTTTCTCTACATGTAAAAATAAAAACAAGGCTAATTAGAAATATCATCTGCTTGTTCTCCCTTCAAGTTTTTCTACTCTTTACTTAACTTTTTGAGATTTCCCCCCCTCTTTGTCCTGCACCCTTTCCAAAAAATCTTAGCTCTGAGGAAACACGCAGATGTTTTTTACATAAGAGGGATGTACTTTCACAGAGTGAAACGATCTTCAAAGATGGAAAAAGGAATGCAGCGTAGCTTTCAACTCAGAGGACAGCACAATGATCAAAGCACAGGACTAGCCAGATCAATATCTGTACTGGAACGCAGGGAATTGAAGTCCAGATACCCATGAGATCTTGAACAAATCTGGATGGAAATAGTATGAAGATTTGCTTATTTCAAGGTAAGAAGAATTATTAAAGGAATAGAATATTAAGAGAACACACAGAAAAAGGGAGTGAAAATAGAGTGAAAAAACACAGAAAAGTCAAATGAAAGCTCCATCAAAGTCAAAAGAACAAGGACCCCTAATCTGCACATTTTCTTCACTGAAACTGCAGCAGCAATAAATCTGATCCATTCAGCTGGCATTTTTCCCTATTACCCAAAACATCCACCCAAATTCTGTATTTGATCAACACAGTCACAGCACAGAATATAGCTTTTGTATGATTATCTATCTCAATATTTACTGTAGTATTATTTACTGAGCATGATGATATGAATGTATGCACAAGAAGGGAAAAGAAACCTTATGGGCTAGCAAATATAGTCACAAGAAAATTCTACAGTGAAAGATTCCCATTAACAGCCCCTAGCAGAATTTGACTCTTAGCCCACTGTCACAAGAGTGGTGAAAATGTCTCTCTCCTACTAGTGATATTCCACACGTAGGTCTTCACACAACTCTCTATACTAAACTGTCTTCACAGCGTCTTGCAGTCCCTTCAGCAGTCCTTATGAATCTAGCATATGGAATTTGATATTTGGATTATTAAAATTCATGTGGTAGAAGACTGACATCACCCTGAAGTTCATGACGTCATTTTTGTTGCACGAAATGCACACGATGAGAAAAACTCTTCCAGAACGTGTGATTCCAATACCGATTTTCTTAACTTTGCAAGAGTGAACAACACATTCACCATGAGCTATCACTCAGATCACCATTGACTAATTCCTGCTTATTAATTGCCATGATCTAACAGGACCCATTCAACCAGGACAGCTAACAATACCCAGGGGTTTGGTTGAAATTTCTTTCAACCTAGTGAGGTTGGAAGAAGTGCAGTTAATGCTAAGGGCAGCACAGTGCCGCCATGAACGCAGATGAGCAGTTGCTGATCATCTTGGTACAGCTTTTACTGGGAATGAAATTATACTGAGTATCTATATATAAAAAGGGATCTTCCAACACATTTGACTCCCTCTCTGCTATGAGGCTCCTGCCTGACCCTATTCTGAGTTCAAGGACAGCATAAGTATCTTTATATTGGTATCACTTTTTCTGCATAAGACAGTTGGTACCACAGCCCACTGCTCATAGCCTGAAGCTTTTCAGCAGTATTGGAATGAACTGTATATAAGAGATTTCTGGCTCAGCTGAGGCACATTTGGCCACATCAACTTAACCACCTTCACTGCTTGAAAGTCTTGTCTGCTTAAGACAAGTGAGCCAATAGTGCCAAACAATTTGGAGACCCCTAAGCTGTGCAGATCCTTCGCCAGTAGAGCTGCAGGGACAGCAACCACCTGAGGAAGTCACAGAAAAGCAGAAGAAAACACCTTTAGTTGGCACCACTGTCAAGACAATCAACACCTGTCACACTTAACATACCAATACATTTAAGAGCAATGCAACTTCTGTTTCTAGATAAGGTATCCGATGTCATTTAGGGATGAGCTCTGTTTTGTGGATCAACAATTTTACCTTTGCCATATCACATTCCTGTAACATCATATTCTTTGATTTATGTTTGCTTAGTTCTATTACTGCCACAAAAAGACCCTGTTATATATTTCAGTGCAAAATGGAAGTTATAGTTATTAACAGGCATGTCCCCTCAAACTTCTAATTTATAAGAAAGAGTGAAGTTATAGCTATGATGTTTTAAAAGGCATGTCCCCTCAAACTTCTAATTTATAAGAAAGAGTGAAAAGAAAAGCATGCAGTTTTTTTCCACACACCTCTAAGAAATTGCCCATTAAATAGTTGGCTGTTATCCATCCATACACCCCTTCCTCTGGCCCAGTTATGATTTGCGCACCCCTAAATTCAAAAGGTTGTGCTCTGAAGTAGTTTTGAACGCTTGCAAGGACTTCATTGGCTGCCGTTTCATTTTGCAACCTAAGCAATTCACAAAACATGAGACACTGAGCATCTGGAAAGGCAATTTAATGTGTATTGTTCACTGACCAGCAATTCAAGAAAACTCCTACAATCACCTAATAAAAAATAGATATTGCTTCCCTAACAGGGAAGCTTATGATAGGGAACAGCCAAGTATCCAGCATTGTTTCAGCAAGCAACTCCCCCACTATGTACAAACTTCACTCTTTATCATACAAGTTCATGGGTGTTTTGTTTCTTGTATATACTTTTCTTTTTAGTGAACTGAGTGCTTATGTGATAGCTGCTGGTTAAAACAGTCCTGGAGCCTTTCTTCCCACTCTGTTTAGCCACAGAACAAACATAAAAAGCCAGTTTGTGCCAGGGCTAAAGCTACAGACAGACCCCAAAAGCCACATTACACCACATTCACACTCAGAAAACTCTGCAGTGTCTAGCTTTAATCTGCCTTTGCTGCCCACAGATACACACAAACATTATCTGCTTACATAACACTGAATTTTAAGACAGATACGGAAGAGAAAACTAAACTCTTGCCTTCTCCAGAATAAATCAAGCATTTCTTTTCAATATGGCATTACAGAGGATTTTTGTACAGCCCCGCTACCCCTATCAAAAAAGTTAATTAAATTAAATTGGCTGGGCTCCATTTCCTTTTGAGATGGCCAATTTCCAATGGATAAAAACGTGTCCAGTACATTTTTCACATTCTGTTTTCACAGACTGCTATGCTAGTACACATACAGAGGAGTTCAAATTTCTGCCATACCTCAGTAGTCTCATGCCAGCTGTAGCCCCCAGATAAACAGAAGTGGTTTTATGCAGATGAACTGGTATTCTCTCCTTGACTTTATTCAGACAGTCATCAAAGGGTTTGGCAAGAGCTCCTGGATTACTCTCATAGCTGGATATACCAGGGCCTAAAAGAGAACAAGTAGGTTGATTTCATTCTGCTTTGCCAACTACAAATTAGCCCAATTAGCAAGCAGGTGTTAAGAGAAAGAGATTCCCCCCTTCCCTCCTGTAATTGCAAACAAGGATAGGATGCTTGAAAACTATGAGTGCTTAAGGAATAAATGTAGTGACTGTCTCAGCTGTGTGAGACAGAGAAGAACTTGCAAACTGTTCGCCTGTATTTTCGTATGTATACATATACACCTATAGTACCATACCTAGAGTAAGATATACAGTATAACCATATAACACCACAATGACAGCATTGCTATATTCATGAGGAAAATAGGTTTACTCATGGCAGATGCTGTAGAAAATATCATGTCTAATGGATGTAAAATTTCTCTGGTCTGCTAAAGCATAGAAAATCCCTCCTTCCACAACCTAAGACAAAGATTTCCTAATCTGGTTTGCCACATCTGTCGTGGACACCATGGCACCTCTACAGCTCACTGCTCTCAACTGAAAATAAAATAAAGAAGCTTCTGCAAGGAATTGCTGGTGAAATTTCAGGATGCACACAAACAGCTCTTGAAGTCATAGAGGTCCAAGTCCAGGCTGGTGCACTAACTACTAAGTATTTCACGGTTTTCCAAATTTCCAAAGCCTTCAAACAACAGGAATGAGAGTTACACTGTGCTGCATAAGGCATAACTATTTGAACAATTAACATCAAAGTCTTTCCACCCTCCCTCCCTTGAGGACCATCAGGACCTCAACTTGTTCAGGCTCAGCTTAGGTGTTAATAAAAACATTCCTTACTAAAATTCCCTAGCTGAGGAAGTTGCACAGGGAGAAATCCAGGCATTCCCATGAAGCCATTGCCCCACAGAGAACAACTCTGCCAAAACTCCATCTAGTTCTCCTGTAACAGCCATCTCTCTCACCACCTGATCCCAAGCTAAGCAAAAGGCGGCTCTTACAGAGTTAAAATGAGAAATCATTTATGTTCAGCCACGTTGCATTGATACAAACAGAGGAAAAAATATGTAAGACTTTACAGACTCCACCCACACTCCACTACTCCCTTTCCCACAGTATGAACTTAAACATAAACATTACCATGTCATCATTAGATGTTCACAGCCCTGGTTTGGAATAAGACTTTCTAAAAGTCTGAAGTCTAGCACAGGTAGGCCTGAAGTTGGAAGGAAAGCTGTTACCAGAGGAAAACAGAGCAGCAACTGCTCTTTTACATCCTCAGCAGCTACTGTTGCCTCACACTCCCTTGGTGGCAGCAACCTCCATCTCTCAGTGTTCAGACATAGCAGGCTGGACAACTGCCTGCTTTGCCGCTGCTTAGAGCCTGACCAGGACATATTAACTGCCTATATAGAAAGGGTTTTGATTTGGGGCTGGCTGCTACACACAGGGGCAGAGGTACCTAATGAAGGCAGAAATGAAATCATAAAACCACCACAGAACTTACAGAGGAGTTGATCATTTGACTTTCAAGTTCAGTAGGTATGTGAAAGTCCACCTCTCAGTATGCCCAGAACCGTCCCCCAGTTTAAGTGCTTAAGGCTACAGTTAGCCTGTCACTAAAGAAACACTGACAGATGTGTTCACCACTGCCTCCCACAGCTTAGTTGGGGACCTCTCCCCTGAGCCCTCTGTCTCCTCCAGTGCAGAGTCACCCAAGACTGGAGCAGTGAACCCTGGTGATTTTGTACACTGGAGGATGAGGACTACTTTGGTTGACCATGGTTAAGGCCCCTCTGGACCTGAACAGTTCACAGCAATTTGGACTCCTCTGGTTTGCAATCTTTTGTATTCCCCGGAGGTAAAACAAAATCTAAAGCAATTAAAACAAATTCACAAAGTACTCATCTGTCATTTTCTGAGGAGAAGAATAATGCAGTTTCTCTGTGCGTTTTTCTCACACCAGAATTCCTAAAGGCAACATTCCTAATGAGTCAAGACATGAGCTAGCAGAGTGCAACCCCCACCTCGGCAGGCTGGCCGCCATTCCCTACAGTCTGTAAGGACACACCATCAGGCACATGACGGTGCATTACTTCTGTGCACGTTACACGTGCTTTCCTTTCCTTGTTTTAAAATTGCTAAGAATGTTCACACATATATTTAACGCTGAAGATAGAAATGTTGGTGCTGTTAAGAAACCATTGCCGCCTTCTCATCTCCTAGTTACTCATGGACATCTATGGCTACGTCTCCAGCATCTATGTCCAGACACAAAGAGGAATGCAGGATTTTGCATGATCATGACTGAGATAGAAAGAAAGGGAAAAATTCTCTTTGAACACCACAGTTATTATCAGAGATCAACAAAATCTGCACTGAGACTTCCTGAGTTGCCCCACCTTCTCCTCTTACCTAACTTGCAAACCCAAACCAGTACACTAAACAAAGCAGTACTGCTGAAGTCGGTATCTTAGAGGATAATCTAAAGCTCATTTAACTCAGAGTAGCAGAATTTACGAAGTTTGACTTCCTGCAGAAATCCCTTATAGACTAGCTACTGTTTAATAATGTGGATTTCTCTCCCCTGCCTGGCCACCTGTCTTCATAAAATGTGTGGAATTTTGGTATCTTTGAAAGCTTAGTCAAATGTCACTGAAGTTCACTAAGAGATTCAAAAGCTGTTATGAAGAAATCCACAACAAGCTATTAGAACATATACTTAACCATACTGGAGTGTGAGCAAAAGTCAGTCTAGTCAAGCATCCTCTCTCTGAGAGGAATCAATGCAAAACCTCAGACAAAAGACAAGGCAGGTAGCCAGTGGTACTTGTCGTGGGATGCCTCCTAGCAGTGCACAACTACAGGTCTTCCTGAGCCAAAGGCCAGACCTGCATTATTTGATACAACTATGACATCCTGTCAGAAACAGTTTTGCAATTCAGCTATTTTACTCGGTAATTTTATTAGATGCTTCCTAGTTCTGTAGTATGGAGAAGCTCTTCCTGTTCACCTTCTGCACGCCTTTCATAATTTCCCCTTGGTTGCCTCTTTCCAAGTAATTACAGAACAATTCCAGATGAACTGCATAAGCCTCGTTTCTCTAGGAAACCTGACTCAAACAGCAGAGATTTTGGTTTTAAGCATCACTAAGACTTCTGGAAAATAAAAACTAATTTGTCAAACTCTTATAGCATAGCTGACACCCATTTTTGCCTCCATCAAAATTAATGGCTAACATCTAACAAGGGCTAGATCCCCATTCTTCTCAAAGAGCTTTTATTCCAAGCTATTTTTAAATATATTTTATACTTTCCTTTTAAAATAAATTATTTCAGGGCACAAGGACTAAACATTTACAGGGCCTGATTCTCTGTAGATTGAATTCTGTCTGCACCAAACATGCACTGCAATAGAGTAAATCAAGTTTAGCTACAATTTCCTCTCTCCATTGCAGATTAGAGCACCCTGCTGTATCAGTAAGAGTCTTAACAGTTCTTGCTCCCCAGCACTGAAAAGGGAACACAGCGGAAAAAAACAGTATAAGCTTCCAGACAACCTTTTCTTGGAGGCTAGAAAGAAATAAGGAACTTCCATTTGAGCTCACCTTTCACATTGCACTTGAAGGTTTGGCTTACTACTCCCGTGTCATTTTCCTTTTCTGCTGGCCATTCATAGATGTAGACTGTAGTCCGAGAGGATCCAGCATCAAGGACTATTCCATACTGGGGAAAAAAAAAAAAACAACATTAGATCAAGAAACAAACAGTGACAGCTTAAAGGCCCGTATGCAGCTGTACTTCTTTGCACCATCAAACACTTCAGAAAATGTATGCACAGTATATTTGTAAGAGAGATTAATTCTAGTGTTAGGCACTTTGGCATGAATCCAACAGCCAAGCACAGAATGAATCTGGCTGCAAAACAAAGAACACACTACGTATCTTCAATAATGAATTCAGTGGGGATGGAGAATGCTCATCTCCTTTCAGCATCAGGTTCAAAATCCACACTGACACATAGGTAATACTGTGTTAGGACCTGATTCTGTGGCAAGTTCATTTCCCATTATCCCAGCTACACTCCCTGGACACTGCAGTATTTGATACCTAAGCACAGGCTTTAGATTCAAGGATGCACAAGGGATCCATAAAGCTACGAGCAAAGAGGTAAAGTACATAATACTCCACAGTGAGAATGATGAAACAAGTCTGGTTCTTTTCTAACTGCCCCATAAACCTCTCCCTTTGAGTGGTTTAGGCAGTCCACCTGAGAGTTTGCCACTGAAAACAGGCTGTGCCAGAGTGTTAGACAACAAAGAGGGAAAGAGAATCAATATTCATAGAATCATAGAATCATTAAGGTTGGAAAAGACCTCTAAGATCATCGAGTCCAACCATCAA